CAAATGGCTGTTGCCAATGAAGGACATCATTCAATCAGAAATGAATCAGAACATGATCATGACGAAAGTTAACTGGCTATACTCACAAAATAAAAAAACTAATCGGATCTACCCGATAAGAGTTCGAATCGTCTTTATTGTAAATGTCGCTTTTTTTTCTTGTGTCAAAGATAATATTTACTTTCATAGTGTAAATATTCCCAAACGCATGCGATAAATCATTCAATCATATTTTGAAAATCTCCAACATTGTTTGACATGTTTAGTAACCATGATTGCACAAAAGGGTGAATTTCCTTTTTGGAGTAGAATTACTACGTCAAGAAAGTCAGCAATGAATTTAAATATGTTCGAGGGTGTGAGTGGGCGTGTGGATCTTCGACACAACACTCCCTTCACCCACATCACACCATCAACTGCAAAAATAACGTGTAGTCGTTTCTATGTTAAGAAAGGAAAGCGAAGAGGTAAATGCTTTCGAAGCCTACATAAATATGATGACTAAAATCAAAAATGTTTTCGAAGAAACTCAAATGTTGTTTTACGATTCTTCGAACCAGAAAGGTTTGAAGATACGACGGTAAAAATTTGAAATTACAACACTTCGTTGCCAAGTTGTGCCACAATAATCGATCAGGCCAACTAGTATAATTTATCTTTCTTTCTCCCAAGTATTTTATCGCTCGGTGGGTTTTTTTCTTTTTCCTGTGACAATAAAAGAAAAGACGACGCAGACACTTTCTATTCGCAAGAGAAAAAAAATAACCAGAGTAAAACTATATGAATTCAGTTTAGACGAAGCAATCTGATGGCAGCAAAGTGTACAAATGAACGTTTTCTTGATGCTGATCAAGAACATCTAGCTACATTAAAAACATCATTCTCCATTGAAATTCCTGAACAACAGCAATTGGTTTCATTAGAAGAAGCTACCAAAGCTTTAAAAAAGTCGGTTAAAAATCTTGATACAATGGTGCAAAGGGCAAAGTACAACTCTGTCGATCAATCATTGAATCTTACCGTAGATGAGGCAGCTGCTATTAGACTGTATACGAGCGGATCACAGGAACCAGATAAAAGTATCTCCACTCAACTGAATCGAGCACTTCGCTCTCAGGTCGGAAACAAAGTCAACCCTTGGCTCTCCTACATCAAGCTCTTTCTTTCTGCCTTAAATAAAGTACCACAAATTGAAGGCACGATCTTTCGTTTTGTTAAAGGCAACATCAGTGATCAATACAAAGGTAAATGCATTTGGTGGGGTTTTAGTTCTTGTACACGGTCCCAAGAAGCACTCAAAAACTTTCACAATAACTTACATGGTTATACAGTACTCATGATTGAATGCCGCAATGGCAAAAGTATCCGTGATTATTCTGACAATCAGAATGAGGAGGAAGTTCTTCTTATGCCTGGTACCTGTTTACGTGTTACAGATATGAGCATAACAGAAAAAGAAAACTATGTGGTTTACTTAGAAGAAATTGGTAAAAACCTTCTTTTAACTTCTCGTATTGCTGATTCGTCATCGACGGTTGACGCACCTCCAACAAGCCATGTGTCTAATGCAAATGCAAATCGATCAACTGCTCAAATCATGCAGGCCAAATTGCTTAGTAAGCCCATTTTTATTTTAAGTTGCATGTTTCTGGGTGCCCATTTCGTCACCCGAAGTATAACTGAATGTTGAGACCTTTGACATGCATATCTGTGGGTGTGAGTCTGGGTATATGGGTGTTGGCAGGGGTGTGGGTGCGTGTGTGCGGATATAGGCAATGGTGTTTGTCTCTTCATCCACACCCACACCCACATTCTTTTCTGGATGAAGACTTGGGTTAGATATGACTCATTCACTTTATTTTTATTTACAAGTAGGCTATGCACGGTTTAGATTCAATCTTTTAAAAGATCAATGTGCCTAAAAAAACGTTCCAATGCCAGTTTCATATGTTTCAAGTACAATCTGACAATCTCTATCAGATGCTGAAAATTGTTCCCAATACATTTTATAATAACCAAGAAAAATCTTAGTTATTAATTTTTCTTGCATCGAATGAATTTAAACCAAAAGTAATTTTCTGGCTGCTTGCCTGCGACGATTTTCTGCGAAAAGTAGGCATGTTCTTAGTGGAGCTCGACGAAATTTGTGAGATATAGGTAATTGAATTTCATTGCCTCCTTCATTCCAAAGAAAATATCAATTTACTGACCCTGCAAATACTGCAGAAAATGGCTAATTAGGTCGATAAATCAATGATTTTGTAAGGATAAAGCACACTATTGAGATGCAGTTTTAACCAAATGATAGATCTCGTCGAGTTGTACATCAAATATATGAAATTGGTCTTGGAACACTATCATGAGTGCATCGGCCCTTGAAAAAGGTCGAATGTGAATCTAATATAGACTATGTTTTAATTACATGGCTTACGTGATTTCACTCGAAGGACTACTAAGTACTTGTAAAGTGAAGATTAACTGTAGCTGTTAGTGTAATCGTATATAGGAATGACAATTTCAGACTTACATTTACTCATGGATACATATCCACTTCATCAACAGAAAATATGCATTTGTCTTTAGAAAAACCTTGGCTGGATCTCCAGTATCTTCCGCATGATGATCAATTGATTATGACTCCTAAAGATCTAGAAGAACGGATAAAAGATCCCCCCACAAATGTTGACGATGACATATTAGATCATGTCCAAGGATCCATGATTGGTATGGCTTTGGGTGATGCGCTCGGTGCTCATGTCGAATTTCGACCTCGACAGTATCTTCTTGAGCATAAAGTGCGAGAACTTGAAAGTGGAGGAACATGGGGGCTGAAAAAAGGACAGGTAAAATATATTTTATTTATTAAAAAAATGCTTTGAATGTTATCTCTGTGGAAATGAAACGCCAAGCATAATGAAATGACTTGATGCTAGAAATCTTTCTTCGTTCCTTATTTCTATTATGCAGCTGTGGAGCAGAAAAAGTGGTAATAAATGAACGTATTCCCTATATACTTAAACATCCATATACAATTGAATTTTACACCATGCACCAATGTCATTCATACAGCTTCAGATGAAAACCGTACCAAATTTTCAAATATTTTCTTGAATTTATTCAAGTAGAGATTCTTGTAAAAGTGGTACTAATAATGAGAGTCAAATGTTTAGCTTCAGTAATTCACACGATTTTATGTGCACACTTTTTTTTATCGACTAGTATCGATGCCAGGAGTGATGTCAATCAGAGATAAGTATAGTGCAATTTTTTCTGTGCTTTTCTGCCTTTCAATTGACTTCGAATTTCCAGAACCTCATAGTAGGAGATAAAGAACAAAATGCATACCTTAAATTTTCGATTAAGTCTAATAGATTACAAATTTCTCAGTCGTCTCATAGCCAATTCATGTTCATGTTTTTTTCACCTATCAAAACTCTTTTCTTGAATAATGGTTAAATCAACAAATACAAAAAACAGAAGCACAACAAGCACTTTCCAATAGCGAATATATCCTAGTCTAACAAAAAAAAAATACAAGAAAACAAAAATATAAGGGTATGAATATAAATGTTCACACATATACACACACTCTCTGAAAAAGAAACTTAATTTCCATTTCGTCTAAAAATATCGTCAACGAGTATCGAAACATATTTGATTATGATTCTGTGCTATTAATCTCCTCTTAGCTTTTGGCTTACTATTCACATAAAGTGTGCTTTCAATAAGTGCCATGCGTGGATGATGGTATTTTTTTCTAATAAATATGTATTTAGTTCACAGACGATACATCGATGGCTCTTTGTTTGGCAAATTCATTGGTGACTCATCGTGATTTTATTCCCTATGATCAACTAGTTCGCTACAAGTGGTGGTACAAACATGGTTACATGTCCTCAACGGGGCACTGTTTCGATATCGGTGCGGCCACCAGTAATTCGTTACGCGAGTTCGAACGTCGTCAAAGAAAATTTGCCACCGAGCATCAGATTAGACCTGAGCGCTTAGACCATCTTCCAGACCCTCATATACTGGATCAATTTAATGTGTTTTGCAGTGAAGAAGGAGTAGCAGGCAATGGAGCTTTGATGCGATTGGCACCCGTACCTCTTTTTTTCCACAAATATCCTGCTCATGCTGTTCTTTTCTCCGGTCTTAGTGGAATTATTACTCATGGTGATCGCAAAGCCTATGATGCTTGTCGTTATTATGGTGCCCTAATCGTCGCTGCTCTTCAAAATGAAACAAAAAATGAATTACTGCATGAAGAATTTTACTCCAAGCATGAATCATGGTTCAACAATGATCCACTTACTCCAGAAGTGATGAAAATTGCCAAAGGATCGTATAAGAGACCTAAGGGATATGACGCCGGCATTCGAGGCAAAGGATACATTGTAAATGCTCTCGAAGCCGCTTTGTGGGCTCTTTGGTCCGATAATGGCTTTTTCGAAACTGGTGCTCTCAATGCTGTCAATCTTGGTGATGATACAGACACCACTGCCGCTATTTATGGTCAATTGGCTGGCGCTCTCTACGGCTTCAAAAATCTACCCCTGAAGTGGGTGAAACACGTCTACGCCCATAGTTTTATTAGTTGCTTGAGCAAGTGGATTACTTATGAGGGTCAATTTTGGCAACCAGAACAATCCATACTGAATACTCGATTGCCAGATTATCTATCCAATCTGAATGTTGTCATCGTTTCACAATCGATCAAGGAGCCAACCGAAGACTCTACGCTAACGCCAAAAGAGAAGTCAGCTTCTTCATTTGAAAAGCCCCCTACTGACGAACCATCCAAAAAGGGAAAATCAAATTACCCTGGCAAAGGCTCCACGAAAACCACTACTGAAACAAGATCACGGAGAGCATCGGCAAGACCCACATCAGCAACAGAACTTAGTCAGAGTGGCGCTAATAAATCAGCTAAAACACCTGTTCAGAATGTTTCTCATTCTGAACATGGATTACATAAAGAGCCACAGCGGACACCAAAAAAATCGAAGCAAAATCCTGATCCTAATAGCCCTCGAAAAAGCTAAATAATTTGTCAATGTGGTTAAGAAAATCAAAGACGTCGTGAATGGAAACTACCATCTACTGTACACCTCAATTGGTTTCCCCCCCTTGATATTTTTGTGTTTTTATTGCTATACTTTTTTTATTTATTAACCTACTACATATAGGAAGAAAGCCTGGAACGCGCTGCATCTTTTGGTATATTTACATTAAACATCAAATGGAATTAAAAATGTAAAAGATGTATTAGAAAAAAAAGTGACACTTTTTTTTTACTACACGGTGTCCACAATGTTGTAACATTTTTTATTTCGCGTATATCTCGGTTTTAGTAAATGATAATATCTTGAATTTTTTTCCAGAAGATGCGCCATGAAAAGCTCTACAAAAGCTGTATGATCAGATTCCTTTTTGCCTGTTCCAATGGTTTTTCTTATACTCAAAATGAAACACCTACATGACAGTGTCACTGTCCATTATATTGAAAATGTTTGAAAGACTTTTCATTTTGCATATATCTTGCTTTGAGAAAATGATGGAATATTGAATTTGTTTTTGAAAGATGTACCGTCGAAAGCTCTGCAAAACTTGTATAGACCAAATTCTATAGCGAATCAGAAAAGTCCTCAAAATATTATCTAGATGATGGGAAGTGACACTGCCATGTAAGTTGTTCAATTTGAGTATAAGAAAACCATTAGAGCAGGCAAAAAGGAATTCGATTATACAGCTTTTATATAGCTTTTCACGGCGCATCTTCTGGAAAAAAATGTCACTTTTTTTTCTAATACATATTTTGCACTTTAAATTGCATTTGATGTTTAATGTAAATATGCCAAAGGATGCAGCGCGTTCCGAGCTTTCTTCCTATATATAGTAGATTAATAAATAAAAGAAGTATAGCAATAAAGACACAAAAATATCAAGGGGGGGGGGACCAATTGAGGTGCACAGTACATCATGATTATTTTGAGTTGTCTTTAAACACATGCTTTTCGCTTTTCATAAAAAATATATTTTGTACCCCGTGTTTTTCAATAGTGCATGATCTTCATAGACTCTTAATTCATTCGTGGCCGACAGTTGGTCACTCAATCGAGTAGTTAAGCGATATATATGAGACAGCTATTGTTGACTTTCAGACGAATCAGTGTCACAGGCTTTCTATGGAAGCACAGTCGCTTCTTATCTAATCTCTCACATCTAGTTGAACATGGCTTAGGCGAGAAAAATCAAATATGAAGAAAAGAAAATGTTCCATGTTTCATCATATGCCAAGATTTAATTCGTTCTACAGGAATGTCTTGGGCTCCGAGCTTATAAAATAGTTTCAGAGAAATAAACTGAAATGAATGCTAGTTTGAATTGTTTACGTGGAACATTTAATCGTAAATTGAGCTTACAAGGTGTGACTGTGAGTATGGCTATGTAGTTGTTTGAGGATGTGAATGTTGATGAGTGACAATCACTTCGAATAACTTCAGCCGTTATTAACTCGTTTTTGTTTACAGATGATTTTTTGGTATTTAGTTAGTTTCCTATTAGAAATACTTCATTTCCGATTAACATCGCTCGTGTTTACCACATTTTAGACAAAATGTGAAAACTACCTCACCCATGGCACAAAATACGGAATCAAATATTGTAGAAAAGAAATTTTCTTTTGAATAAATCTCTGGATCTTACAATTATGATATCAGTAAGAAAAGATCCAGTAGAACTCTATTGCAATTTTAAAATGATTCTATAGAGTTCAGCACACGTCGAATGATGCTCGAAACATTTTTGGGCTCTATTATCACTTCAATTGTCAGCGGTGCTGTTCAAAACAAAATATCGATTTTCTGGTTCAACAAGTGACTACTACCGGCGCTAAAATTAAATGTAGGGTTGATGTAAGATGAATATCTCACGAAGAGCAATATCTAGCGATCTGTGGCTTTCACCAACGGAAACAGGCTGTGTGATGACATGTTTTAGCCTAATATTATGCAACGTGAAATCGTTACCTAGACTATAAATCATTTTTCGGAATCTTGTCGAAACATGTACTATAATGCAACATAGTTCTCATGAAATTTTTATTCTCACATGTATGTTAGATAGAGGAACTTTAATTCTATAGTTCAAGATACAATCCGAATGGGTATCTTCTCACAGTCTAATGTTGAATAAATGCATTCGGCGATTTGCTTGCCAAAATCATAGGGAAAATTTGTCTTACTTTTTCTCAAAATAGCTTGTTGTTCGGATGAAAATTTGACAAAAGTAAGAAACCTTGATTAAGAATCAACTCAATTGTCTATAATTTTGGCAACTAAATGGCCGAGTTCATTTGATCTACGCTAGGCTGTGAGAAGATAACGATTTGAATTGTATCTGGAAACATAGAGCTCAAGTTTCTCTATCTATCATACATAGCAGAACAAAGATTTCATTGGAACTATGTTGCATTATAATACATGTTTCGAAAAGATTTCGAAAAATGATAGTTTAGGTAATGATTTTACGTTGCATAATATTTCATCAAAACAAGTCCTAGCTCAGCCTCTTTCAATTGGTGAAAATCGCAGATCACTAGCTATTGCTGTTCTTGAGATATTCGACTTACATCAGCCCACATTTAATTCTGATGTTGACAAAAGTCGTATTTTATCGAAACAGCACTGACAACTATATGACACTTTTTTACTCAAAATTCAAGATTATTCGTGTGAGGGATGATGCTTGACAATCTTTAACCAGTTGAAATTCATCATAACATATTTATCATATTTTATCAATTGACTTTCATGTCAAAATATATTTCCAAAACTAATCTAATTCATTGAGTAGTATAATTGCGGAGTTGGGCAAAATAGGTGAAGTACTCTTACCTATACTTGAGTATCAAACGCTCTTAAAGATGACGACAGATAGAGTCGTTTTCCAGCCAGCAGAAAACTTCACGTTTTTGTGTTGAAATTGATTTCGTGGCGATTTCTGGTAAAATTGCAACGGTTTACTTTGTAATATCTCTCTTACGAGGGACGGTCTCCAGATGATTAAAAGCTTTTGAGCCCATATTTCGTCCAGTGGTAGGGGTAGTGTACTGCGTGATCGTGATCGAAAGGTGTGGATGTGGATGCAGAAGGGTGTGGGTTAGTGGCTTACCCGAATTTCGCCAATAAGACTTTCGCCAACTGGACATTCGCCAATGGCGAAAGTCCAGTGGTACATTGGCGAAAGTCCAGTGGACTCTCGCCAATTGGCGAAAGTCACCGGGGT